GATGAATTCAAATAAATACAGATCTGTGTGCACGTCTGTGTGTGCATGTGTGTGCACACGAGTGGGCGCATAGGCAGTGGAAGCGGGTGTGGGGAGAAAGCTGTTGACATTCCAGCATTTTGGTCATAGCCCCGCGCTTTATTTTGCTCGCAGCGCAGACAAGCTTGAGCAAGAGAAAACAAATGGACGAGGCAAACATTTAGAGGGAAGTTTGAGATGATGTGTCGTTAGCACACCCCAGATCAATGTGTATTTTCCATCAGGATCAAAAGAAAGAAGAGCAGAAACTGTTTGTTTTGGGGGTTTTTTAAATATGAAGTAGGACTTCTATTGATGCTCTTACTCAGAGCTCCAGAGCAGTAGACTGATTCCTAGATGGTTTATAAATATGGCCCAAGGCTTAACTTCAAGGCAATTTCTTTCAGTTTCACGCTCTCACTGAGGTTTCGGTCTTAACTGACTCGCCTCAATAGGCTCATCAGCAGCTCACAAAGCAGGAAGTGAACAGGAAGCGTAGATAGTCCAGCAGCAGCATTACAGGAAGTCATTCTGCAACAGCAGCACACCATTTGGGAGTGCTGATGTACTTAACAGGGGAGAAGTTCATTAACCGACTAGTTGCATAAGTCATTTTAATGCCAAAGCCCACAACACAGTCCTTAATATTTCAGATCTATTAGTTTAAACTCACAAGCTTTGGGGTTATGAATTCCACCCTGTCAGAATATACTCAGCACTCAAGCACCACTTCTCTCATAGCCAGGCCACGCCAGAAACCCAATCAAGTAGCTCTATTATAAACCTTGCATGTGTCATTAAGAGTTGTGTTATTGTTTGGAAAACCAGGATTAGCGGGTGTAGCTTGGCAACCTCACTAACAACCTCCAGCAGACCTTTGTCACCTCTCCTGCTGCAATCTGCTCGAAAAGCCTCTGAGCCTGTAGTGCCCAATTATGCAACAGCTACTACTATTAGAAAACAGGTGACAAACAAAACACCTAGTTTTACTTTTTTTAAGCTGGTTCCTGTGATGAAATGTCCTGATTCTTGCCTTCTGCATACCACCGTGTCCTTTAAACACGTATCCATGATGTTCCTTCAATGCTAAGCAATTCTAGGCATGCGGCTACTTAGCACTCCTGCCAAAAAAAGGCATTCACACAGAACTGTTAGGCCCAATAGGTTTGAAGGGCAACAACAACAAAAAACATGTGACCTGCGGGGCAGCAGAGGAGGAACTGATGCACAGCTGTGGATGGCCGGCTTGGGTGTGCGCTGTGTCATGTTTCCTGCTCCTCTTCCCCTCAGTTAAGGCCAAACCACTGATTAGAAACAATTTCAGTGGCGACTCCCATCAATAAAACAAAAGTGATTTCACTTTTTATGACCGCTGACCGTAGATCCGCAGAAAGCTGGTCTCTGCGGGGTGACTGAAAATTGAGACACAGTGTTAGAATGCACATGTACATACTGCTGCCAATAGCCTAGTATCACACACACACTTTCCCACCAGAATCCAGCCATTATAAAAGGGCCACCCCCTGGGGTGGTGTGTAACCCAGACAGAGCCTGTGTGGCAAACTGTTAACACACACAGGAAACAGGCGAGACTGGTAGCCTACACAGGACATACGTCCAACAACAAAACACCACCTTTAAACTCCCATTTAAAGCCTTTGTGTATCAGCTGTGAGGGGCCCCTTCCGCACTTGTATTCCGCTGCTCCTGTTTTGTTTTGGTCATGTGGTGGCAAAAAGTCTGCAGCACTTAAATGGATTCAAAAACTTTCTGCAAAGCACTTTTTTGCACTGGTTCATCGCCATGTTAGCGTCAGACTGCTGAGATAAAACCTAATCCTTTTTTTCTGAGCCGAGCTCCCCTCACCTTTGAGTCAAAATGCTCTGCGTCATAACCATCCAAAATAGGCCCATCATCCACGTGTGGGGTCTGCAAGAACACTTGCAGAACTCATTTTTCTCTGCATTACCGGCATCATCTTGAACTGCAAATGCATGAGACACGCAGGGCTGAGGACTGAATCACGTCTCGGTGATTCCTCAGGTTATGTCTTGGCCAAAGAGCTCAAATTAGACATAGAGGGAAAGCCTTGAGGAAAATGTCTGTTAAGGTGAGAACGTCAAGCAGCAGTCACAAGGTCAGAGACCACAACAGCACTTCACAACAGATCTGTCTTTGTGTCTATTTATACACAGATGCTATGGAGGCTGACTTAGCACTTTGGTGGAAGACAAGAGTGGCTCGCCGGTCTGCAATGAGTAAGTGGCAGAGCTTCAGAGAGAGATCGATATGCAAATGGTCATTTACACAACTCTCATGTTACTCCCAACGCACATGCATACACACAAAAGCTGAATTACTGACATTTATAGACAGCAGCACATGCACGCTCAGAGCCCGCCCCAACATAAAGCCATCAATCCGGGGCAAATGCGGCACTCAACGAAAGACCAACAAGAGGAGGAGGAGGCACCCACGAGGCAAAGTGACATTGCACGTATGTCTGTGTGTGTGTGTGCGGGGGGTTCAAATGGGTGGGAGTGAGAAAATGTAGGAGTCTTTTCATTCTTATAGCCCCTGTGCATCAGACTAAGCTTATCTTGCATGTTAATTCTGCTGCATAAAGATTGAACAGCCAAGCCAGACGCAATTTAACGACAGCCACTTATTAGGGAGTTACATTACATGCATCTTGTCATGTTTGACTTGACTGCAATGCAGGGCCACTGACTTAAGCGTGTGTGTGTGTGTGTGTGTGTGTGTGTGTGTGTGTGTGTGTGTGTGTGTGTGTGCGTGCGTGCGTGCGTGTATCCACATCCATTCCTCAGGACGTCAGGTCTGAATGCAGGATTGTAGGTCAACTCACTGGTTATAGGGAGATTGTTTAAGGAAGGCAGCGCAGACATTCAGGAAATGGATGCTGGCAACACAGACTGTGTGTGTGTGTGTGTTGTTCGGCCCTCACGCCAACCTCATTGCCCTCCAAATGCATACTCACAAACACAGAGTGCTAAGCTTTATGCAGTCTGCCCCAGGGTTGAACAACATGGGAGCAATTAAACACCATCCTCTCTTATCAGCGGCCGAGTTTCTCAGGGAAAAAAAATAATACGGGAGGAAGTTATCCCTCTCTGCATGTTTATTTGTGGGCTTCCCATTTCCTGTCAAACACACAGACACTTTTGGTGGCACTCACGGGGCAAGTAAATACACACACATATCACGCGTGATGAAAAGGAGCCGAGCTAGCTCGCCCACCAGCGCAGCCATGTAATTACACAAACTTAACTACAATGTGAAGTTCATGCTAATAAAACAGATTTTTAAAAAGGCAGAGCTGTGATTATAATGCTCTGTGTTGCAGCGTGATAGATGACAGCACTGAAACTATGCTTACGCACTGATGATCACGTCAATAATGCATCACCAATAAAGATGGGGACAGCTAAACGCACAGGTGTCCGGTACGTGTGGCGTGTGCAGCAATATCTGTCACCTTCATTCAGTTACAGTCTGTCAACAAGCCTTCCGAGCTGCTCTCCAGACTTGGATCAATAACTTCAGTTGAACAGCAGCCACCAGCTGTCTCTGTGGCTTCTCTTTTCACCTTTTTTCGTTGCCTTTTTGTCAGCACCGCCCACCCCACTTCCTGTTACAGTTGTCGCTGTGAACAAGCACAAAGGAGATCCACTCAGCGGCTGATTGACAAGTGACTCTGAAACCTCCCCTGGGGAAATGGGGCCATCAGTTGTAAGGTTCCTCTTAAAAGGCTGCTTAACTGGGCCGACTCCCACCCTCAACCCCCTCTAAGTTTAATCAATGGTTCCCAAACTGCGGTTGGAGGACCTCAAAGGGACCCTTTTTGAGGAATAGCTAAACATTCACCATTATTTTGTTGCTTTCGCCTTACAAGAACAGAGGAGGCCAATTTTGATCAGGACTGCCCAAGTTTCATTCTTTGTATCTGTACTATACAATGCTCAGGACAACAATCTTCTCATGAAGGACCCTCAGTATGACCAAGTTGGATTCATCAGCTGGTGTGACATAGTCTGGGAGGGTCTGAGTTGATGGACAGTGGGCCTGTCAGACCACCGCCCCTTCTCCACACACACACACACACACTGCACAATGAGCATGATTACAGGCGCAGCCCCAATCACACACTACATTCATGCCATCCAGTTTTAGATCACCCAGTGCCTGCACATGCCCATTTATATGATCTCTTTCAACCAGCATTCAGTCCTGGCACACGCAGTCGATGGGCTGCGAATATCTCCTGATATGAATCCAAAAGCTGCTCTGCTGCTCAAGCTTTTGGGTGCATTTGCCAACAAAGGCAGTGAATGACACAGCTCTGAAGGAGAGCATCTCTTTGTGCTGGATTCATTTGCAGAGGCAGGATTTTTTCAAAAAATTAGAACACCACAAACGCCTTTGCTTTTAAAATCTGTGTATGGAGCAAGATCAGCCACGCACATGTAATGTGTTCAGTAGCCACGGTTAGAGTAAAGTGAGACTGCAGGTAGTTGCCTGTGAGAATAATAATTCAGAAATTGGTTTGGGGAGAAACGCCCATTCTCCTCCCTGCACCTGGCTGCAGCTGTCCTTGTCTCATCATCCAATGTTAAATCCTGAATACAAACCGCTGCCTGCCTCACATAATACGGGCTGATGCCGTGGAGAACTTCTGCCCGCCACCCTTACGCTACATGAAATCCATATGGTATCTCGAGGTGCTGGCCCATGCTTTGCCTTATCAATACTGTGCAGAGCACCACCCATGCATTATAAAACAAGGTGTAATGCTTGTGTCTGTGGCTGTATAACCTGCTGTATCTTACAATGAGCAAGGAGTGAGGATAGTAAAATAAGACTATAGGTTTGCGGGACGCATTTAAATGATCGCCAGGAGGCACAGACACAATGTGGTCTGCTAAAGTCGGCAGATTTCCAGCAGACAGGCGTAGGAGGCTTACCTTAACGCAACCTTCACAGAGCAGTCGCCCTGGCTCGCCATTATCGCATTCAAGGTTCACAGACGGGACGTGGAGTGTTTCGGCTCTGCTGGGTGTTCAGTCTGTGTAAACCGTGCGGTGCTGCGGCGGTGCGGGGTGTCTCAGGTCAGCGGGAGCAGCCGTCAAGACCTGCCGGCGGCGAGCTGCCTCATCGGGACTCCTCCAGTCTTCTTCTTCTCCTCCGCAGTGGCGGTCATTTCTGGCTCACTGATGTCTGTCACATCTCAGTGTTTTAACCCGCTTCTTTTTTTTTTTTCTTTCCGTGGTCTGTCTCAGACGCTACATCCTGTTTGAAGTGCGTATGAGCGAAGACTGTGAGCGCTCCTCTGAAACCACACCGCTGCTCTCAGCAGAGAGAGACGCGATCACGTTGAAGCGGCGCTGAGACCGTAAACTGGAGGGGGTACTGCTGCCTTCAAGGGCTGTTGGAAATATTGAATTCACCTTTGGAGCGCTCTTCTGATCTCTCCAAATTCAAAAATAATTATTTACCTCTTGCCACACTAAACCCGTTGCCATGGATACGGATATACACTGGCTGCTGAGTTATATTAAGCAATTGTAAGTCATCCTCAAAACAATGCGCATGTGCTATATGGGCACACAAAGGCATAGGTGGGGAAAGTATCCAGATCATTTACTGAAAGGCCAATCTCAGCAATTTAGTAGTCCTGTTTTTTCCATAAAGTCACAAGAAACATTATGCAAATGCTCCATATTTGTATAGCGCCTTATAGTCTTTTCGACCGCTCAAAGCTCTTTTACACTACATCTGCATTCACCATTCACACACATTCATTCACTGAGCCTAAGTGCTCAAACAGAAACTAACATTCACACACATTCATTCACTGGCAGAACAGCCACCAGGGGCAATTCAGGGTTCAGTATCTTGCCCAAGGACACTTCGACAGCAGCCTGGAGGAGCCGGGAATTGAACCGTCGACCTTCTAACAGGCAACCCTCTACCTCCTGAGTCACACTGAATCCTATTTCCCACCATGCAACTGGATAGCATCCTTCATTATATCCTCAATGCCCACTTCTTTGAAACCCCAAAGGCTTTCTGATTAGTATTTTGATATCCTCATGACATCATCAAGGTTAAGTCCCCTGCAGAGCCACAACAGATGTTATCCAACAGTTTTCACCGTTTGAGTAGTAGCCTAACACAAGCACTACTTCTAAAGCAGAGTGGGCCCTCTTAGTGTTGTCATGTGTTGTAGGGGTTGTTATTACTTGCATTAACATATTTTCATCAGCACTATTTATCATAACCATCCCATTAATACTGTATAATGCTGTTCTATACAGATATTTATCATTACACCTTGGTTGATGCTGTATATCCACATTTATTATTTATTGTATTCTTAGATTTTAAATTTCTTATATTCACTACTTACCAACTTCTTCTATTATTTCTTTTATGCCTTGTTGTGCACGCAAGTATCTGTAACAAAGAATTTCAACTTGGGGATTAATACTCTAATAAACAACACTTTAATATTGCAGCTGGTCATGGTAGAGGTAATGTAACTATTTTACATACTGTTAGGTGGCACAATCTATGACTATGCATCATATTTAATAGGCTGATCACTTCTTTTACCAGAGTCAAATTCCTTGTATGTGTAATAGCCTACCAGAGATGATTTAAGGGAAGTATTTGGTAATACTTGACCAATAAAGCTGATTCTGATTGAATGGCTTACAAACTGCCTAAATGTAGTGGAGTAGTAAAAAGTAGAATAGGCTACTTGCTCCTGAGATGTAGTGGAGAAGAAGTAATTTGAAATGGAAATGATAAAGTAAAAGTAACTCGAAACTGTACTGAAATGCAGTAAATATTTATTTAATTCCACCACTGCACAAATGTGAAATGAACGAGGAACAAAGTGCTGTTTTCCTTCATTTAAATGCACTTTCTATGATAGTACAATAATTCGAGGAGTTCGTGAACGCACCATACTCGCATTCGATTGACATGCAGTTCGGCCAACTGCCAAATTAGCCCCGCCTTCATTGAACATGAGAGACCAATCAGCGGGCCCAACAAGACTGTGTGGCCCCGCCCAGAAACACACCCACGTCGGGCAGTAAAGATTACAAACGTACAGCACACAGACTGCCAGCGGCGACATCTGATGTCCGTTAAACTATCATAAACTGAGGGAGACGGTTCCCATGACGGAGAGGAGGGGCTACTGATTTAAACACCTTGAGGTCAAAGGCTGAAACTCATGCAGAGGTTTTTTATGACCTGGCAGAAGAATGGAGTTAATTTGCTCTGGTTTGGATGGGAAGTTACACTCTGCCCACTTCCCTCTCCTGCTGAGTCAGATTTCTTCTAAAGGGGAAATTGATGCCCTTTCTCTTAGTTGAGTCAAACAGACACAATGCATTTTAACCGCTCCTCCTCAGTTTCTCTCTCTCTAGTCAATATTTATTCTGGATCTATACCAACCAGTTTTGCCTATTTCCCCCCTCAATTAAGTTTCTTCTAACATGCTGAAACAGCCGGGTTTCTATGCAAAGTGACTTCACCACATGTTAGGATTCTGGCAGCAGGACTCACATCTACATACAAACTCCAACCTTTCCAAATCCTCATCCTCCTCACTATCTATGACTCATGTTCCTACTGTATGTACTGAACAGTTTCCCAACGACAGTCATGTCTGAACTGTAGTGAACTGTTTCCTAATATAACACAACACATTTCAGTTAAATATTTCACAACTTTATTTAGGTAGCTGTTTGTACCTATTCTGCATGACCGTGTGGAAAGCCGGCTCAGCGAACTGTGTTGTGGTGAACAAGAAACACTGCTTTCTGTCTAAATGCAGAATAAAGGCACTGCAGTCCCATGACAACAATCACTTTTATGTTATGAAACACAGTCCGCGAATGGCTGCATGAACTATAAACCCCTTCTGTGTACAGAGGAGTATGTGTGTGTATGCGTGTGTGTGTCGAGGACCAGGTGGTGATGTTAGTGCTGCACAGGGTTTGTTCCCCGGGTGCAGTGATGGATTCCACACAAGATTAACATCCAGTTATGAGGATAAAACTACAATCCTCCTAGATCTGCTGGGAACTGGCCACTGGCCACCTCAACTGTGACGACAAAACACACAAACAAGAGCGGTGCACACACACACAAGTTTGTTCCTCTATCCCCATGTGGACATCTCATTGACATAATGCATTCCCAAGCCCTTTACCTTAACCATCAGAACTACATGCCTAACCTTAACCCTTACCCTAATCCAATACCAAATTCTATTACTATTACATCATTAGGATGGACTGTTTTCTTTCAGGCACGTTTACAGTTTTCTCCCCTGTATACTAACTCCTCCTCAGCACTTAAAATGTAAAAAGCACATTTCATAACCGTACTGTGTGGGTTTTAAAACCCTGAAGAAATTTTAATATTGCAATTTCCAAACTGCAGCATAATCCCCATATTTAGGACCACATATAGTCAAAATAACAGCACCCTAATTACATAAGAGGCTTTCAAATACAATCTTTCCAGCCGCCCTCGGGTTCTGTCAGTCACGGTGAAGTCGGCAATTCATTCTCCCGCTTTGGATTTGGCACTTTTCTTCAACACACAAACACACACACACACACACACTTCATCATTCTTACTTGATGGCCCTTCTCATTTCTGCAGCATGTGATTATATCCTGACCTGAAAACATGAAGATGACTCATATCTTTGTGTGGCTATTTTTTCCAATGTTGAATATATCATTTTGAAATAAGACATATTTTATTGACACACCAATGAAAAATAATGTGAAAGACACTCATACACACACACACAGAAACAAAGACAATCCACTGCCAAAACACAAAATGCTCCCATACACTATATGTGTATTAAAAGAAGCTGACTGTGATGCATTTAATACCAATGACGTCCTCTTTCTCTGCTCCAACACATGCAGCACATTCCCTCTTTCAGTGAAAAAGACGAGGAACAAGACTGAGAGGGAGATGGAAGATGGAACTGCACCCTAATGTATTCTCCATCCTTATTCTTTGATGTGTAATCCCCCACATACGTTTTCCATATTTGGCTTTGAAGCTCCATAAACCAATCCCCCATTCGTTACCGTAACAAAACAGTTTGAATTGGCCAGGATTACATAAACACACATTTGACGACTCACTGGCTGGCAGAGAAAGAGGTGCATCGCCAAAATGAAACGTCAGGCAGTTTAATGATGCACACTTGTTTCAAGTTTATTTATTTATTTTTGCTTCCCTCCATTTCCTTCTCAATGGGAATACATGGCGAGTCTAACAAGTGTGTGGACAGATGTTTGAAGGTGTCTGTGTTTAATGTTTGACACAGGAGCTGCTTAGATTTATATGTGTCAGCTGCAGTGGCATAAAGCACAGCTTGCCAGTTCTTGGCAGTGCCAGACCCCCCCGTAGGGCTTTGTCCAAGCACCCTGCAGAGCTCTGCTTTTACCGCTTACAGTGGATGTAGTGAAGGTATGTCATTTTCTGAAATACGGTTATTCATTTCCTCACTAAGAGTTAGATGAGAAGACTGATACTGTCAGGTTCTATAGCTGAGTGCTGAGGCAGATAACTGAGATGTAGACCCAAATGCAAGACACTGGAAATTCTGGTGCAGTAATGATGTTTAATCCAAAACGAAACAGAAATACTTAGGCTTACATGTAGAAGCAAATGTTAAAACAAAGGGCAGGGAATCTAAAAAATAAAACAAAAGTCAAAACTGAGTATGAAAAGTCACAGCGGGGCGAGCATGGAGACAAGCAGGGAAACATTCGGCACAGTCGTGGCGTCCCACTCTCACTAACAACTACATTCTTTAACAGGCTTATGCGCACACACATGTATACACACACACACACATACAGACACATTCACCCACACGCACATAGACACAATCAGTCTTACATATAGACACAAACAAACTTAGGTTGTCCCTGGTAGAATTATTCTTCCAGCTCTTGTGGCTGTGCTGTGTTGCTTATTTAGTGTGCTGGACTGTTTCTTGTTTTTCTCTTAGTTGTCATACTATGTCAGCTGTTCATTGCTGCTGTTCGGCTGGTTGTCTTTTACTATTATTATTATTTTTATTGTTTATTGTGTTTGTGTTTGTTTGTTGTTGTTTTTCCTCCTCTCCAAGCCCCCCTCTCTGTTCTATTGCAGGTTTCGTTGCTTTCTGCAATTGGTGTTTCCTTCTGCTTTTCCCTGTTGTCCCCATCTTCCATCCCCCTTCTCTTGCAGGTCTTGTCCTTTCTCTGTGCTGTCTGTTTGTGCCCCCCTATCCCCGTGTCTGCCCCCCTGTCTGTCCTGGTGACAAATC